AAAAATGGTATGAATTTACTGGGGGAAATAAAAATAGTACTTTCATACCACGCATGCGTGGTGTTGAATAAAACTGAACATCTGAATGCACATTTATATGTCTGGCTGTAGCTGAGTGCGCGGAGCTGCTTGCCACAATTTGTTAATTTCCAGAGGGTCAGGGTTCTAATCCCATTACAGGCAGCATGGAATTTAAATATATATATTTTTTTAACTTAATTATGAAAAAGCATCCGTTAAGTGCATAGCGCTTCATTTTATTTGAATTGAATATTTCTGTACTAAATACTAAAATTTGTATACTTAAATGTATTACGAGTTGGGTTGGTGCTCTTTCATATGCGTACATTTTATTTTTTTTTTTAATTTCGCACGTTTTGCAGTAGCAATAGTTGATGATTAATATAAGTACCTAAATACGTTAAAATGATATGCGAAGAGTTTTACAATTATATTAAGCAAAAGCCAGAAGTTTTGAAACAAGTTCACAGCAATGAAAGAAATGACTGATATTTTAATGTTATCTTGTGCTTAAATATTTTTTCTTTCATGAAACCTAGAGTACTTATAAGTGCAGTTCCGTACAAAATTATTGGCTCGGAGACTCTTTCATCCGATCTCAATTTCTACTCAGATCTTTTAGAAAAATTTTCAAAATGTAGCTTTTGAGCCAATTTTTAAAGTGCAAGTCTGAAGTTACCAGAAAATTTTCTTTGGTTTTTTGCAATTATTTATTTTTTGCTGACAGTGTCTTCCATATAAAAAAAAATTGTCGATCATAGTTTGTATGGAAGAAACTCTCAGTAAAAACAATACCAAAAAACTAAATTGTTATGTACTGCAAAACTTCATTTTCAAAATTTTTATAAAATTGCATGCAAATTTATTGCATTTTCCGAGTTTTGCACAAAGTTTAGATATTGTATTTTTATGTTTTTTGATGTATTTAGTATAAACGGTATTTTTATAAAGAACAAAAAAATGTGCATGCATTAGGAAAAATTCTCTGTGCTTTAGTTGTGATAAGTTGTTTGTTTTGTTGGTGTACGTTGTAATGATCTCATGATCTCATGTTTTTATGTTTTTGTTGTTGTGTGTCAAAATAAGATTTTACTACATCTTTTCGTACGTAATTTTTGTCGAAACGAAAGGGAAGGGAGCGAGAGGCCTCCTCCCCCCCTTAAGTGTCCCAGTTGGGCAACAGAGATGTCTGGCAGCCCTACATTACACCCCTATTGCCATTAACTGGTATGTCAGTCACGGGGTGAATATTGTTCAAGAGGACCACAACCCACCAAACTGTTCACAATTGCGACCCGTTGAAAATGATAATAATGAAAATAATCCGAATTTTTAAATTATTTGGGAGAGAGGGCGCAAATGTAAATTGCGCCATTTTGTTTATAATGAAGATAATTGAAATATTAATTTTTATTGTTTAATATAGTAAACTTCATAAAAAAAATGATAAAACAGAAAACCCTTTTCGTAGGCTGTGCAATATGTTGTTATAATGATTCTCGGCTGACCAAAGTTTTTCGTGTCCATTCTTTATACTACTCAAAAATGTTTTCTTGACCGTTTTTTTCTTAATTAAGCATCATCAGCTTCTCGTTGTAGGATATTCTGAAATCAATTTTATACCCAAGCGCACTTGTGCACAAGGGTATTATAACTTTGTTCATATCGCGCTTGTTTGTAACAGCGAGACAGCGAGTCGAGACGGATATAGACAAATGTATACGTAAATGATCATAATGAAAAAAGAAATCGATTTGGCGGTGACTGTCTGTCCGCCCGTCCGTCCCTCTGTGCACACGATAACTTGAGTAAAAATTGAGATGATATTGAAAATAGGCATAGGGACACGAATTTCGATACGATACGATACCATATCGATACTTTTGCCATTCGATACCGATATTTTATACTCGATAGTTTTACACCGATATTTTTTGGAATCGAGTACATGAACTTCAGTATCGTATCGTATTTTCGGAAAAAATTCTACCAGTCATAAGTTAGTATGAAACAACCTATGGTTCGCACAGACGCTACGTTGTAAGCTTATCCCTTTCTAATGCTTGACGCGCTATGTCATCAGATTTGAGCCAAAAGTTTACAGTTACATATTCGACTTCACCAAAAGTAGCGGTAGTTTGCCAAATAAGTATTACCATGTATTTCGTCATAATCAGAGTTTCCTCTGTTGTTATTTATATTAAGAACACTTTTAATTTTTGCATACTAAATATAAGTAAAATCCAGTTAGAGTTATAATAAATCTAACATATTACGGAAGCTTGAATAGATTTGAAAAAATTTTAGAGAAAATGTTGTTCTTTTAGCAAGTTTTTTTACTAATTTATAATAAAACATTTTCTTAAAAGAACTTTGATTAATAATGTACTAGTTTTACTTGATAAACTCTGATATTTTGTTGATTTTTTAGTATAAGTACAAAATTTTTGTGGAAGTGTCCTTTTACAAAGCATTAAAAATCTACTTCATTTTTTGAATAAGAACAATACGCATTTAACAGGTAGTAGCAATGTCTTTAGTTTTTGCTTTTGCTCTCTATAATGTCAAAATCTGTCAACAAAGGTTGATAGCTTAGAGTAATATAAGCAAAGTTTGACAATTTAGAGACCAGATACAAACAATCAAATCATGTGCTCTACGTGCTCAATGTGCATTGGAATTATGCCATTATATTATTTGCAAATTATAAAATTCATTGAAGATTTCGAAAAATAGATTGTGTAAATAAATACTTTTACAACTTTCATATCAGTATGAAAGCAAAATTGTTTGCCTCGTAAATACGTATATACGTATATATTTAACAATGTTATATGTTTTAATATATTTTTTACATATTTAAAACAAAAAGACATTATAAAATTACATGCAATCGCTTTTTGGCCAACTAAGGGTGTACAAATTAAAAACGACTCTGTGTTCGGGTTCTAATAGAGCAGTGGCAACACTTAACACTGTACTGATACAAAACTCATCTTCATTTACACATTGAGATTTGGTCATTGTACATTGCTGCAAGCAATATCGTTGGTCATTGTATTTTTTGGTAAGTGTTCAATTTTACTACACATTTTACAATATTTTAAATTAAATAAATATTTACAGGTTATGAAAACGAGCGAGATTTGGAAATATTACTCGGCGAAAAATGAAAAGGAGGCAAATTGCAAAATTTGCTTCAAGACCATAAAGCGCTCGGGAAACACCACAAACTTGCAAAAGCACATTCGGACACACCCGGTATTATAATTATAATTTTTTATCTAAATGCAGATATGTAATTGTTTATATTCCAGCGCTAGAAGAGATGTGCAAAGTGTAGATGAAAGGCAGAGAAAGATGCCTGGGTGTAAGGAACCGGCACAAGAACGCAACAATGGGACATCGCCAAGACCTAGCGATGTTTCGGAGGAGAACGAAAAATCCTCACCAATGACACTTACGCCGAAATCAGCTTCAACTAGGCAGCAGCGTTTGGGGGAATGTCTAAAACGACAGTAAGTTTGCTTCATTCTGTGTTAAAAAGTGTGGTTTCGTTTGTTTCATCGCTATTGTGAATTTTAATGGCAGAATTAACGTTTTTAAATTAAGATGCTATTTGTCGGGCTATCGCGCTTCTCATTTATTCAGTGCTATTACAATGATGCATGTTTTTGTTTCAAATTGCTATTCCATCATGTACATATCGACTGCTGAGTGGAAGATCGACCTATCTCGGCAGCCAGTTCGAAAACGAACTATCTCAAAAAACTTTTCAAGAACGCCCTATTCAGGACTATTGAAAAACACTGTAGCTCAGAATTCGGTTCAAAAATGCCCTATCTCACTTCAAAATGTATTGAAAATGTGCTGATATAGGGCGGGTTTCAATCGGCAGCTGAGATAGGGCGTTCTTCAATCAAATTCTGAGATAGAGTGTTTTTCAATAGTTCTGAATAGGGCGTTCTTGAAAAGTTTTTCGAGATAGTGCGTTTTCGAACTGGCTGCCGAGATAGGTCGATCTTCCGCTCAGCGGTCGATATAGTGCCACACAAAACTATTGGCAGAGAATATTTCATACTATGTAAAATTTTTAATTTTAATTTTTTATCCGCAAATTTTTTATAAAACATATAGTTTCTACTGCTACAAAAAAAAAACAATCAAAAAAGTCTCTCAACTCTGCAAAACTCAAGAAAATTCAGTAAAATTGCATACATATTTGCAAATTTCTAAATCAGATTTTTCAGAAAACATTTGAAAATTCAGTGTTATAGCTCATTAAATTTTAGGACAATAAAGTGCAAGTTTCATGTTCCTAAAAAATCTTACTGATTTTTGGCCATTTTTTATGACAGTGTCACGTAGTTCCTTCCATCCAAAGTTTGTTCGACAATTTTTTATATGGAAGAAGCTACGTGACACTGTCATAAAAAATGGCCAAAAATCAATAAGATTTTTTAGGAACATGAAACTTGCACTTTATTGTCCTAAAATTTAATGGGCTATAATACTGAATTTTCAAATTTTTTCTGAAAAATCCGATTTAGAAATTTGCAAATATGTATGCAATTTTCTTGAGTTTTACATAGTGTGAAAAATTCTCTGCCAATAGTTTTGTGTGGCACTGTATAGAATAAGGTCATATAAAAATAGATGGCTTATAACGATTCCGCTTTCGGTCAAAATCTTTAAACATAATATATAGTTAGTTAAAGTGATTAGCTCACTGTGGAACTTCGGTACAGAAATTATAGTTAAAATAAGCAGTTTTCGTTTTGTTGCAAGCTTTTATTTATCTGGCTCGACTTGCATGCATACAGCGAGTCACAGTTTTGATCACAGTGATTTTTTTTACAATATTCAACATGTTTTTCAAGTTGAGTCTTTTACGTTAATTTTCCATAAAAACAAAAATATAGTTTATATTATATTATAATAAATCAGTTTTGTAAAACATTTAAAAACATTAACAAATTTTAAGCAAATTTTCAAAATCGTTAGATGTTTTTCGGGTATGTAGTTTTGTAGCCATTAATTTTAGTAACTTAAAGTGCAAGCTTGAAGTGAGAAATTTTAGTCACATACAAATTTTTAAAAATTATACAAAAATGTGGAGTATTATAAAAAAATTAATGTGTTATCAAAACTGGGACTCACTGTGTAAGTGATATATTTATTGTTTGAAGTGCCATAGCTGCTCGAATGTTGTTATTAAAGCTGACCGGTTAAGAATTCAAAAAAAAAATATTAAGAACTTGTTAAATCCAGTTTGATTTTGTTAGAAAAGTAAATTATTTAAAAAAAATTGTTCTTTTTGTTCATGAACGGCTTGTTAAGTTTCAAAAAACTCGATTTTTTTTCTAGCTGCAAGAAATGGGAAACCAACTGAATGAAGTTTTTTAAGAATTGACCAATCAAAGCGTAACAATGGGTCAATATTGGAGTTACAGCAAAGAAAGTAATTGGAATTGCGTAATATTTTTTATATCATTCTTTGGCATATACTGCAATTTACTTTGTTTTTGAAATTTTTAAATTAAATTCAGAGCACTATCAAACAACTATTTATTGCTTTAGATCTTTATACGCGGAAGGAGGTGCGCAGGAAGTGGCTATTGCCAAACACATTCTGTACTTTATATGCAAGGACAAAAGACCATTCGATATCGTGAAAGGCAAAGGGTTCCAGAAACTTTTAAAACTGTTGTGCCCTTCGTACACCATTGCTTCAGTTGACACCCTAAAGTCCAGACTAGATGACATTTACACAGTAAAAATGAATGAGGTTATTGGAACCTTTCAAGAAGTGTCTTCATTTGCTCTTACGTGCGATGTGTGGACTGAGACGATGTGCACAAAGAGTTTCCTGGGCGTAACTGCACATTATATACACAACAACAAAATGATGAGCAGATGCCTAGCCACAAAGGAATTGGAAGAGCGACATACTGCTGACTAAATAGCCGAAAATTTAAGATCGGTTTGCGCGAAGTTCCATATTGAAGCAAGCAAAATAACGTGCGTTGTTACCGATAATGGTGCAAATATGGTGGCAGCTGTCAATGCTTTTGTGGGTAGATCCAATCACTTATCCTGTTTTGCATATTCATTGAACTTAATAGTTGAGTCCGTCTATAAACTTGAATCTTTCTGCGCGCTTTGCGAAAAAGTAAGAAATATTGTTAAGTTTTTTAAAAATAGCGTTGTATATAGTGACAAACTCCGCTCTTCGCAAAATTGCAATCCGCCATTAAAACCAATTTTAGATGTTCGAACGCGCTGGAATTCATTGTACTATATGTTGGACCGGTATGTACAGCTCGCGCCAACAATTCACCAAATTTTAGTCCTTGATTCCAAAGCGCCTCCTATACCAACAGCTCAAGAGTTAGAGACGATTACAACTATCTTGGAAGTTTTAAAGCCGTTTGAAATTGCAACAAAGGAAATCTCTGGAGAACAATTTGTGAGTCAGTAAAGTTATCCCAATAATTAAAACTCTTCGTGCACAAATGAGAAATGAGATGGTAAAAAACGGTTCGAATAACGACATAGTTAACAAAGTGAAAATGGTTCTAAATGACCAATTAACTATTCGCTTCAAAAATATTGAAGAAAATCACATTCTTGCCTTGTCATGTGTTTTAGACCCAAGATTCAAAAATATTACGTTTTCCGATCCGTGTGCTTATGCCAGATGCCTATCTTGGCTGCGGGATATGCAAAGTCATGAGGAAGTGTCTGAGGCACAAAAAGATTCTGACGTGGAAGTTGTAGAATCCCCCGAAAAGAATGATTTTTGGAACCACATTAGAACCTTGGCATCTGGTAGGGAAGGGGGTCGCGCGACACAACAAAGGGAAAGCATTAGTGAATACATACATTGCAAACGTCTTCCAGTAAATGCTGATCCGTTGCATTTCTGAAAAGAAAATATAATCAAATATCCTTTTTTATCTAAAACTGCGCTTAGATATCTTGGGATACCAGCAACGTCTGTCCCGTCAGAACGATTGTTTTCTAAGGCAGGCTTCACAATGGCGAAAACGCGCAACAGGTTGGCGGGTAAGAGGCTAGATAAATTGCTTTTCTTGGCGGATTGCACTGAGGAGGAGTGGGGTTTTTGAAGAGGATTTTTCGCGTTCAATATGTTTACGGATATTCAACTCATTTTTTGATTAATTCTTTAATTTATACGAGTTGCATTTTCGTAGTAAGCATAAAAAGGCAAGCAAAACTGTATTTCTATTTACTGGGAGAATTTCTAGTCAGTATTTAAAGTACAAAATTCATTTTTTTTTTATTAAATAACTTTATATTTCTTATTTAAGAATAAAAAAGACAATGTTAATTAAATTCACATTACAACACTAAAAGTGTATAAGACTGAACTGTACTCAACTAAAATGTATTACATTAATGTAATTTATAATATTTTTATAATAAATTAAAAGTATAAAAGAGTTTAATTAAATTATTTTTGGCGCGTTTAAGGTAATGTATCTTCACTTCAGAATTTAATTGTAAAGCAATAGGATATATCTGTGGTCATAAGCTAAAACCGCCTAAGTCGAAAAACCTGAATTCGAGAAAAAACGTTTTAATCATTTGGATTGTAATGTTAACGTAATGGGGAATCTAAAATATGTTCGTCTATAATTTTTTAAATAGCCTAGCTAGCGAGATGTGGATTTCACATACACTTGGGATAGTAGTTGTATGTAGAATACGATAGCATATATAACTCAATTCTTTCTTAAGTCGTCTTAGGCGGTTATTGCTTATGACAACAGATATGTGTATTACATAAAATATGTAAATCCTGCATTCATATGAATATGCCTTAACATTCTGCGTCAGGCTTGGGCCGATTTCCTTGCATGGGATTTCGCTGTGTGCTTCAAGATTTGTTTCGCATTCCAATGGCTAGTTAAGGAGCTTTAATGGGCACCAAACAGGTTAGTAAAGTTGCGTTCCAGATGCTTCACGATTTGCAGGTTTTACAGGATTTGCAGGAAAAGCTGTTTTCTCCATTAATAAACCTTATGGAAGGTGGTCACCTGGAACGGCTTCCTGTAAAAACTTGCAAATCTTGAAACATCTGGAACGTAACTTATGTGTTGGGATTTCAACCCGCTCCTTCGGTGTAGTAAGTAAAAACTTATTAAATTAGAAATTAAGAATTTTTTTCATGTGAATTTGGTATCGATATTTTGGGAATCGAGTCTTTTTGTTTCGATATTAATGGGTACCCGATTTTTTTAGAGCGATACTTTAAATGAGTACCATATCGATACTTTCGGTTCGATATCGTGTCC